AAGTGCCCCGACCAGGATTAAAACTGGCAGGCTTTCAGTTTGTGAAATGATGCCTGAACCACTGAGCCACACCAGTCAGGGCCCAATAAGATACTTTAGATCATACAGAATTGTACCGATGAGTAAATTTATCACTTTGAAAAATGTAGGGTAGTATGTATAAGGGAGATGACAGGGAAATCCTGCCATCTATTGTTTGAAGCATTTTGGTGAGCCTTTGGTTCACAAGATTTCATAATCATATCAATTTATATGAGCTATTTTCAGTGAACAGTTTGGTCACAAAATTTCATATTTCTCACAATCTGTTTTGCCCAACTCCAAAACAGATGTTTCCATTGATTACATACATTTAAATATTTATTTCCTAGTAAACATAAATAGTGACTAGAATTAATATGTTCAATGATATAATAAAGACTGTAGGTCCTTTATATTTTCATATAAATTTTACTACCAGTTTGTTAATCTCTATTTAAAAAAGCATGCTGGGATTTTGATTGGTATTAAGCTGATCAAGAACAAAATCAGTAAGGTCCCAGAATGCAGTCAATATGAAAATTAATTGTTCTACATTTGAGAAATATATGGAAAATCAATTTTTAAAATATTACTTAAAATACCATCAAAAACAAAAATACTTAGAAATAAGTTTAATGAAAATTGCAAAAGGCATCTATACTGAAAACTAAAACAATACAGAGATAAATTATAGATCTAAACAAATGTAAAGCTGTGCTCTAGGATCAAAGGACACAATATTGTTTGGGTGCCCATACTACTCAAATTTACATATGGAGTCAACCTACTCCCAATCAAACTCCCAGAGGCATTTCTTTTTGGAAATTGACAAGCTGATTCTAAAATTTATTTGGAACACAAAGGATCTAGAATACTCAAAAGAACCTTGAAAAAGAAAAACTGGTTTAGGACTTAACACATTCTGATTTCAAGACTTAACTATAAAGCTAAAGTAATCAAGACAGTGTAAAAGTGATATGAACAGACCTACAGAGCAATGAAACAGGAAAGTCCAGAAATAGATTTACACATATGTGGTCACGTGGTTTTTTTTACGAAGATGTTAACATAATTCAATAAGGAATTAAATCTTTTCAACGCATAGTGCTGAAATAACTAGATATCCATATGGAAAAAAAAGGACTTCAACCCCTAATACCATACTCAAAAATTAACTCAAAGTAAATCATAGACCTAAACACAAAAACTGAAGACTTCAAGAGAAAATGAAAGAGCCCTAGCCAGTGTGGCTCAGTTGGTTGAAGCATCATCCTGTACCCCGAAAGTTTGTGGGTTTAGTCCCCAGTCAGAGCACATACCCAGGTTGTGGGTTCAGTCCCTGGTCAGCGCATGTATGGGAGGCAACCAATCAATGTTTCTTTCTCTTTCTCACTCTCTCCCTTCCTCTCTCTCTAGAAAAATCAATGAACATTCCTCAGGTAAGGATTAAGTAAGGAAAAGAAACAAAAGTCTTTATGACCTTGAGTTAAGGTTACGAATTCTTGCATAAAGAGACTGGCATGGTGATTGTCTGAGTGTATGCATTTGCCAAATTTCAGAAATGTATATTAAAAGGGTGATTTTCTGTATGTAAATTATAGGTCAATTTTTAAAAACTCAAGAAAATGAACATACTACAGTTGCACACAAGAACATAAATGCATTCCAAAAACATAATATTGGCAAGAAAATCAAAACATAATCTTTAAGTAAGTGATGTAACTAAAATGAAGAGCAAAGAAAGTAAATTCCATAAAAGTCAGCATAGCGGTTAACTTTGAGGCAGTGTAAGGGGGTAGAGATCGGGAAGGGGCCTAAGGGATAGGGCCGCTTCAACTATACTGGCATTTTTCTTTCTTTTTTTCCTAGGGTTACGTGAGCAATTACTTTGTGACACTTTACTAACCTATCATTCATATTTTACATCCTTTTAAAAGAAAACAAGCCAAGTAACTCAGGGTAAATTATAAAAGGGTATACTATTATATCATAAGATATATGTATTTTCAGAGGTATAAGGCATTCATATCTTGGCTATACCATTTACTAGATGTGTGACTTTAGACAGGTTTCTTAACCTTCCTCAGTCTCAGTTTACTAATCTATAAAAAAAAGTATTCTATCTTTTCTTGAGCAATGGCTAAAAAAATTTAGACTTCTATATTTTATAACATTACAATCTACAAATATTTTTACATCCATAAACTGGAGGCGATTTTCCCTAGAGAGTAAGGACACAAAACTGGTAATCTGGGTAATTCTGACATGGACTTATGACTAGATTCTTGAAAGCTCAACTCCTTCAGGAGGGTAGGCTGTTTATTTGTCTACATACCGATCGAAAGTCAACCTATGTACACTCAAATGAAGAAGTTAGAATCAAATTATATAAACCAAGATTATTAGAATCAGTCCTGACTTTACCCCATTTGTTCTTACAAATAAATTAATAACACAATTAGTAAAACATATGCACAGTGTTGCTACTAACTACATGACTATACCTTACTCAATACCTAAGTTTCAGAAGACACAGAAAAATAATTATTTCATATAGATACTTCAATCAATGTTATGTACTAAGTTAGTCATCATATCAGGCTTTACTCTAGTGTACTCTAGTACACAAAATATGAAATATAGACAGTGTGAACAAACCAATTCTGGTGGTTCTCTAATAAATGTAGAAAGTAGTATTTTTAAGAGTATAACTACCAGCTGCCAATTTTAATAGCAGTGATTATATGATACTTTTAAATTAAGATCTGAATATATATATATACACACATTCTAGCCCATAATTTTCTTAATAAAATGGTTTTCACAATGTCTGATCTCTCATGAATATATTTTTCTCAAAACACTATCATTCACATTTGCATATAAATAGCACCCACAAACAAGATAATATTTGCAGATCCACGTAGAAATTCCTGAAGCATGTTGGAAACTCAATTTTTCTAAACTAACTGGATAACCTAAACCAGTGATCATGAAACCATCTGTAATATTCTAAATAAAATTTATCTATAAACACTAGAGGGTGCTCTAATTCAACATTCCCTCCTATGTGGCTTTGATCCCTAAAATGATTTTCTTGATTAAAGATATTCTTCAGCAACAAGTATTTTTGCATCTGAAATAGTACATGGAAATAATTTATGAGACAAAACTCTTCCAGAATATATAACAAAACTGTAGAATTCCACTGAAATCATTTTTACAGTACAATTACTACATATTTCATGTTTTGTTAGGTGGAGAGAACAGAAAATAAGTACAGAACAAGTATAAGATAGTCCTTCACTATTATGGAAAGTAACACTGAGTTCATACAGTTAAGAGAAGATATACCATACCTCATAGACTGAAGGTAAAGGAAATTACAAAATGAATTTGGTAAAAGACATAGTAGCTCAATTTCAATTTTACTTGCTAAGTATTAAGACAGAGTTCAAAATACCTTTACAAAGGTATTTTGAAAGTCATCATTTAAACAGCAAATAAAAGTGATTCTGCTATAGGATATTGTCTCCTGTCTTAAGAAAATACTTTTTAACTCAATAGCTCCAGAAAATTATAAAAGAAAATAATCCAAGACCTTGAATATCCAGAATAAAAAATAATCAAAATATCAATATAAATTTTCATAAAAGACGCACAGGTGCTAGCTTTTTAATTTATTCCTAATATGTTCATAAGCTCAATCACAAGTCTTTAAATATTTCCAAACTGACAGTAAAGTGTATGTTGTTGCCTACTGGCAATCCAGAAACGTCCCTTGGAACATGAGTTTTCAACAGACAGCATTCGACAGTCACAAATAACAAAGACGAATACCTAGGAAAACCTATCACCTATGTATTTCAAGAAAGTGGCTGTTAACTAAGGTACTATTTAATCCTAACAAAGTATTTCACCTTTAAAAATGTTTACCAAGATAAAAATACATTATAAATATTTCTAAAAATTACATACCCAAAATCAATCAATTTCTCTCAACCTCTCTCTCACACACAAATACACACAAACCCCTATGCACGTGTATGAATGTACACTCACTGCTCACTCACATGCAATCCACTCCACAAGAAGGGAATTCCTGGTTTTATGCCTCTCTCTCACTTCTTTCCATAACAAATTACCAAGAGCCTTCAAAATAATCTTAAATAGTAGCACCTGTTGGTGGAGGGTCACTTCAAATTTACAGTAGTCCCAAATAAACTGTTCCAGATTAACAGAATACAGCACTAGGGAATGGCCAGAGATATAATTGAACCAGGGTCACAAACCACCTACATTCAAGAAACCAAAATACATGGCATTCAAAGAACTAATTAGATTGCTGGAGCCCAAAGAAATTCTGAACATAGAATTTCAGAACGTTGTGTTATAGTCTGAAGTATATATTTGGCACCTATATTCTTTTGGCACTCACTTCTCCTTTTCATGTTTATCTGCCTTGCATTTGCCAGATTCCTAGGGCCCCAATTACACTCTATATGCCCAGCTGCCAACTTCCCTATTCAATGTCACATCAATTAGTATGTTCTATTCAATAGGCGACAGCACACACATTCATTAGAGGTTAATATCTGAAATGTTCACATATCTGTCCCTTCAAGAAGGTCTTCTGCACCATTATATACACGTCCATCAACAGAAAAACATGGCTCTGGGAACATTACAGGGAACATTTTAGTGCTTTTTAACAAGTCTGAAGTCACACCATTACAAACATTGTATTTTGGAGTTACAACATAATCCTAGTTTCCACAACATAATCGTAGCTTTCACTGATATTTGTAGCTTTTGTCCGTAAGTCTGAAAAGTATAGGGCCTACATAAAGTGAAAATTGGGTAGAAATATGTAATTTTATTTATAAACACCAACTTTCATTTCTTACTCTTATGTGACATAAAAATTTACAAATTGTAAGACAACAATATTCTATTCAAATCATAGTTAAGAGGAATACCTGCTTTCCATGATTCCTAAATCCGGCTGCAAACTAATAGTCTCTGTTGTAATTTCCACTTTCCGTACACTTCCAAAGAAATCCGTTATTAGGACGTTTTTAGGATCCCTCTGAAAAAGATCAGTGCGATGTCCAGGAGTAGACACACATAGACTCTTTGGACACACCTGAAACTGGAAAAAATATATAAGAATAATAAATACACATGTGCCTACATATACATACAACTTTTATTAAATCCAGTAACACAACACAGTAGACTGCAGAGTATTTTGATAGCTCTCCCAACCTGAAGCAACTACTGTTTCTAAAGATAAAAGTTGCACAGCTATCATACTGCTTGACATTTTAAGAAATCTACATAAGACATAAAAACAGGTGATAAAATGGAAAGCTGTCAGGGTGAGGGGAAAACATCCACCTTTTTGAATCATATGGTACACATTATATTTTGAACCCTTCAGTCTATGAGAACTCACATGCAACATTATGACAAGAGAATAGCTTTTTCCTTGCATCTGCATCTGCCTTAGGGGGGCAGTGCTCTACCCAGGTGGCTTTTTAAAACATTTTGTAATCATAAGCCTTCATTCAAATTTTAATTCAAATAAAAAGTTACATGGTAGACCAATATGTAAAAAAAAAAAAAAAAATGATGAGACTAGAGGTGCAATGGCTCTCAGGAAGTTCAAGCACAGCCTCCCCACTAGAGATCCCCCTTGCTCTCCTGCTGTGAACCTATGGAGACCAGTCCATAAATCAAGTAACTTTCTTAATTTATTCATGATGAAAATAAGCCCACAGTACCTTCAGACAAGAGTGGTCTATAGAATATAGTAAAAAAATAGGACTTCATTGCTACACAGCTCTAATAATAATTTTTAAGTTAATCTTATTCCCAATATTCCCCATCAGTGAATTACCAAAGACAGAGCATACCCAGCAAAGCATAAAAAGTACCTATCATTACATACATTTCCCACTGTTACCTTCCAGAAACAAAAATTGATTAAGACATGGTTCTCTTCTCAAGGCTTCTAGTCAGAGATGAATAAACATAGCAAGATAGAAAAAAAGGTGATAGGTTCTAATTCAGAGTAGAATAAACTTCTTATAGTTTCAGGTTAAGAAAAAAAGAGGGAGTGGGATTTAAGCTATTTTCTGAACAAAAGGGACTATTGCAGATGAGGTATAAGAGCATTCCTAATAAAGGCACAGCCACAGAGATGTATAAGGCAAATAACCTAGTTTGGCAGAAGCATGGGATGTATGAGGAATACTTTAACGGCCTTCTAGTAAGGGCCCAGGGCCACAGCACTTGCCCACCTGTGCAGACAAGACCATCTAAACAGCCCTGGCTGGCGTAGCTCAGTGGATTGAGCGCGGGCTGGGAACCAAAGTGTCCCAGGTTCGAATCCCAGCCAGGGTGCATTCCTGGGTTGCAGGCCATAACCCCCAGTAACTGCACATTGATGTTTCTCTCTCTCTCTCTCTCTCTCTATCTCTATCTCCCTCCCTTCCCTCTCTAAAAAATAAATAAATAAAATATTTTAAAAAAAAAAGACCATCTAAACAGATCATCACAAACATGACAAGAGAGGGGTGTGGCAGGGCAGAGCAGCTGTAATTTATGAAACGGTGCTCTAAGCACTGTGTATGCAATTTGTAGACAATCTCATTTAAGCTCACCAATAAGTTTGAGCCACATAAAAATTATTCTTTCTACTTCAGACTAAGGCTCAATGAAATTAAGTCATCTGCCTAATATCACACTGCCTTCCTGGTTCAGGAAAGCAATAAAAGCAAATACAAAGAAGAGATCAGGATATAAATTAAGAAGCAAAGAAGGAAAAAAGGCTGGGGGAAACTCAAGAAAATAAAGTAAGGAAGGATAAAACAGATGAAAGTCTGAAGAAATAAAGTAAAAGATAAAATAGACAGAAATTGAAGTCCTAGGTACACTGTGAAGTCATTCCTATATGAGCAACTTGGTGAGCTTCGTTAGTTACCAGAAGAAGAAAAGTATAATAGAATGAGCTTGGGAAACACTAAATAAATATTATCTTCTTCTCTGTTGATAAAATAATCAATAATAATAATAAATAATAATGCTTTATTAATAAAGCATAATAATACTTTGAAGTCATTCCGCCCTTCAAGAATGTTTATTTTTTTAATCTGATTTTCTTATCCTCAACAACATAATGACCCACAGGTCCTGTTCATTATTCAGCTTAAATTTCAATAATCTCTCACTTACAGAATCTCCACACTCTAGCCAGCCTCTATGTTTATTACCAAAGATAAGGATCATCTAGTATTCCAACTTCTGTGCCTCTGCAGCTATTCCATCTTCCTAGGGTATGCTATACTTTTCTTCTTTCAAACCTGAAAATCTACCACTTCCAAGACAACACTAATCCCCCTGTATTCAAGACCCATATAAATGTGCATTGTTGTCATGTACTCCACTCATTCAATGAACATTCACTGAGCATCAACAATTACTATATACACATATAGTAACGGTATAGTAAAACCAGTTACTATATGTAATTAATATCCATGGGGTATAAGATGTATAAAGCATGATGATGCTTATACCTCTTATTTAAGAAACTCAGTCTCAAGGGAACATTACGATAACAATAACAGAGCAATATTAAAAGCATAATAAAGGTACATAGCAAGAGTTACATGTTCAGAGACAGAAGAATTGCCTAGAGGATCCAGAGACTTCATATAACAGGTAATATTCTATAAATGTGCTCTTCAACTGTTACCAATGACACTATACATTTTAAGGGACTAAACAAGTCTAGTTTTTCTTCCCCTGAGGCCCTTAATATAGTTCTCTGAATACAACTGATACTCAACAAATTTTACTATGTACACATAATCCAACAGAAAATAGGTACTATTACATAATATCTAAAGATATATTGTCAAATCACTATATGAGTAGTATTTAACTTCAAGGAAACAGATCATTCTTACTGAACAAGAGTAAAACAATCATTCAACTAAAATTCAATTAATGAATTGAGGTGGAAGGGCTGGATGAAATTAGTGAGGAATGTTTATTTAAAATTAAATATTACGGCCCCGGCTGGCATGGCTCAGTGGATTGAGCACCGGTCTGAGAACCAAAGAGTTGCCAGTTCAACCCCCAGTCAGGGCACATGCCTGGGTTGTGGGCCAGTAGAGGGTGCATAAGAGGCAACCACACATTGATGTTTCTCTCCCTCTCTTTCTCCCTCCCTTCCCCTCTGTTTAAAAACAAATAAAATAATTCTTTTAAAATGAAATATTATAGAGCAATAAAAAATAATGAAATCTTGCCATTTATGATAACATGGATGGACCCAGAGGGTTTTATGCTAATGCAGTAAGTTCAGACATAGAAGGAAAAATACCACATGGTTTTACTTATATGTGGAATCTGAAAAAGAAAACAAAAAAGAACAAGCAAAAGAAAACAAAAACAGACTCACAGAAACAGAGACCAAAGGCATAGCTGCCAGAGGGGAGGGTGATGGGGTGACAGATAAAAAATGGTGAAAGGAATATAGTCAATAATATTGTGGTAAGTTTGTACTGTAACAGATGATATTCAGATAATTAGTGGGGTGATAACATTGTAAGGTATAAAAATGTTGACTCACTATATTGTACACCTGAACTAATACAACTAATACTGTATATAGACTATACTTAAATTTTAAAAAACTAAATAGCAATTTTGAGCAATAAAAAATTAGCCTCCTCAGTGTTTCAAACATATTTTCAATGGCAGAAGTATTTTTTAAATTCATTAGACATTTAAAATGTGAGGTGCATTTATTGTGAACTTTAGAGACAGAATGTCATGTATTACATAAAATATACAATATATAATCCAAAAGGGTGAATAAACTTTAAAATTAAGGTAACTGGAATGTAGGTGACTATAATTTTCTTACAGATAAAGTAGCATTATCAAAAGTTATAATATTCAAATTTGTATCAACTGTAACAGGCACAAAAAATATATAAACTTAAAAATGTAAATAGTAAATATAATAGTCCTCTATTACCAAATTTGATAGCTTACAGCAGTGGTTTTCAGAATTTGCAGTAGAACCCCTGCAATAAATTAAAAATTTACCTGAAAGGTTTCTATGTAATAAAAGAGATCAGTGCAAAGCTACTTGGCTAAAGTGTGAGTCCAGAGTCCCATCTACTCAGTCCCACTGCATCCTGAAGCCAAACGAAGGCAGGAACAGTGTCTGCCTCTTTCACCAGGGAATAGCCAGTGCCTGGCACTTGGCAGTTACTCAAGTAATATTTGAATGAATAAAAAAGAGATAAATTAACTGGGAAAAAGTGAATATCACTGATGTACAGTTATCTAATCTAGAACTACTGTTTTAAGCTTTTGTTATGCCTACTTTCAACGGCAACCTCAAAGTAGATTTATTTAAAAAAATACAGCCAGTACAAAGAAGTCAGGGGAAAAAGTGAGCTAAATTCAACAGGCCATGTCAAAACACTGTATTAGAAGTTGTAAATAAAACTGCATAAAAATATGTAAGAAAAGGTCCCTCTCTTCCAAGAACGTTGTCCCATTAAGATACTCACACTCAATTATGAAGACAAAAAATAGATAAGACTATGGTAAATGGTATAAAAGCCCTGAAAACAGGAAAGAATTTGGGAAGACCTCCAGGATCTGATCTGACTCCTGAAAAATGGTGGAATTTTTATATGAATCTAAAAAAAGTACCTTTCTGGTAGGGAAAAGAATAGAGCAAATGAATGAAAACAGCAAGTACCTCAAGGAATAGCAAGTTAACTGGGCTAAATTTTTAGGCCTCTTGTAGTAAAGAAGCAGATACTATTGCAAAGGGAGATTCAAAAGTTTTCAAAGGCCACCATTCAACATACGACATAGTACCCTAGTAGTACAGGAGTAACAGACTTCACTGATCATGTTAAGATGAGCATACCTACGGGCTATAATAAAATCAAGTAAATACTTACCAGATCATTCATATTAGTTTGGCTAGCTGGATTAATTTCTTCCAAAAATTCCAAGACATAAAATGTGTATCTATCCATAAGGTGAACTCCAATTGCAGGATCAGGTTGATGCTACAAAAAAGCAAAGCATATACAATGGCATATTATTCAGCCATAAAAAGAAAGAAATGGATGAACCTTCAGGGTATTATGCTAAGTGAAATAAGGCAGATGGAAAGACAGACACTGTATAATCTCCCTTATATGTGGAATAAAAAAATAACAATAATAAAACAAGCTCATAGATGACGAGAACAGATGGGTGGTTAGAAGCCATGGAGATGGGGAATGGGTAGGATGGCTGACAAGAGTCAAAAGGTAAAAACCTCCAGTTATAAAATAAAGCAGTCATGGGTATGTAATTTATAGTATGGCAACTATCAATAATACTGAATTGCATATTTGAAAGTTGCTAAGATAGAACATCTTAAAAAGTCTCATCACATGAAAAAAAATTCTGTGACTATGTATGGTGACAGATGTTAATTATACTTATCCTAGTGCTCATTTCACAAAATATACAAATAGCAAATCATGTTATACACCTGAAGCCAATATAATGTATGTCAGTTATACCTCAATAAAAAAAAATTTTTAAAGCAAAGCAAAAAAAGTGTATGTCTAATAGCATCATTGTAACAAATGTTTTAAACATAATCAAAATTTCCTTCCAAGGTGTTAAAAAGTCTAAAAAATAGCAGAGGGATTAAGCATATAAGCAATTTGAGAAACAGCTACACATTCCAAAGACAATGCAGTTTACAAATCAGAAAAATGTACGTACCGAGAGTGAATCTTCTCCCACTTGGCTACTAGCTAAAGCCATTATGTTAGGAGAATAAAATCGCTCATACATGGATGCTCCTTGACAAGTATCAATAATAAACAGTAGCTCGTTGTAGCTGAAAGAAAAGTGGTAATATCTTTGACATGAATCATGCTGTTAATGATACACAGACTAATATTTTTACAATACTCCCATAACATGTTCAAGTTATATCTTAGTCATTTCATTAGTTAAAAATTGAGACTTTTCAGTAGTTCCCAATATAACCTGATATTAGAAATATTAAAGGTATAACCCTGTCCAGGAAAACCACCTCAACAGGGAGTGGTTTTTGTGCCCAAACCCTTTCCCCCTCCCTTATCTATGCCCCATAATTCAGAATCTAAATGAATACTGAATATTGAATTCAATGAACACATATCTGGTATTCATGCTGCCCTAGAAACTGATCTACCTTCAGCCAAAACCCCCCCAAAATACTCAAAAAGCTTAAAATCTAACTGAAAAAGAGACTCTTAAACTGAGTAAGTGTTAAAACTATTTACTAAGAGCCTACGACCTGCCTGACACTAAGCTGGGAATAGTAAGCCCTCACAGTGCTTAGCACCTGACAAAGTCAAAGTGCTCCAAGAGCTCTGAGAAAGGAACAGAAAGGACTCTAAAGAAAGACAGGTCAGGAAAAGGTGATGTCTGACGTGGGCAATGAGGAGAGAGTGCCATTTGATCCAACAAAGAAAGGAAAAAACGCATTCCAGCATAGGAGAAAGCTTGTACTAAGGCACCTAAATGTGAATAAGTATAAATGTCTGGGGAAAGGAGAACAGATCTGTGTAGCTAGGATTTAGAATAATTTGGAGAAATGAAGGGAAATTCCTGTCAGAAAGGTAGGTAAGGTCAATGTGTAAGTAAAGAATGCCATATAGTTTGAGTCTTATATCCTATAAGTTTGAAAAAGGTACGGAAGATTTTTTGAAGTGAAAAAATAACATAAGTTCTATGTTTTATAATGAACTGCCTAACTAGTAAAAGTAGGGAGTAGGTAAGTTTTCTCTGAGGTATCTCTCAGACACTGGATCTAATCAAACAGCTAACACTGCACCTAGAAAATAAAGTAAGTAATCTTGAATCACAATATCTGAGCAGGTGACAGAAGGCACAGTTAATATGACATGTCTTCTGAGACAGCAACAGTGGAGGCCCCTGAGGATCAGAAACATCTAAGGTTAAGTGAAGCAGTACAATACTGGACCACATGGGCATGAATCCTAGTGCTGGCACTTCCTAGCTATGCAAAATTTGGCAAGTTACTTCATCTGTTTACTTCAATTTATTCATTTGTGAAAAACAGTAATAATAAAAGCATTTATCTCATAAAACTAAACCAGACAATACATGTAAAACACAGTGCCCAATACCTACCATATATTCAATAAATGTTAAGTTTTAAATAAGAAAAAACCAGTAACTAGCAAAATCTTCCTCTTCGATATTTCCATATATTTTGTGTATGCTTTTAATTCAATATTTATAATTTTTTGTGGGGAGAATTCGAGCTAAATAGGAAAAGTCAAAACATTATCCATTCTCTTGCATTCTTCCCAGAACTCCCAGAGCAAATGAGAGCCATAAAATGGAATTTCTCTTCTCTGTTAAAACTGATGAACTTTTGCCCATCCTGGCCCCTTCCTCCTGTCATAACAGAGGAGCTGCCCTTCATCTTAAGGTTCACATAGCTCTTCTTGCATTGGTCCTCTTCTACCTTCTTGGGAATCTCATACATTCTACTTGGGCTTATAATTCAATATTTATAATACTGAATTTGTAGCATAGCTGTATACATATACCTCTCTGTTCTACTATATTTTAAACTCTTTCAGGCAAAATAAGCATCATATTCCCCTCTGTACCATATGTTTAGAAGGTAACCTACAGGTGTTACTGAACGTATTCAAGTTGAAAGCAGTTCTACTGCTATTTTAAATTCACTTAATAAGGTCATATGACAACTTTTAACAAAAGGGATGCTTACCATTAAACTACTAACAATATATCATCCCTAATGGGAGTCAAGTTACAAATTTTACACTCATCATAATTTCAACATTTTTGTCAAAGAAGAAATAATGATTGTTATCACACTGTGGGCCAGATAATGTGCAAAAAGTGAGAATAGGTAAAAGCTGGAAAAAAATCTATGTTCATAATCCCCTTAATTAATAAGGAACTTGGTTAATGGGAATCTTATTTCATCCAAGGAGGATGCTAAATAACAAGGTTAACTTTTTTGAAGCTCTTTAATAACCCTGAGTTTCTCTTTTAAAAATAACTTCATTCAGTTGAAATAACAAATACAAATCTAAAAGAAGTGATTCAAATAAATTAAAGTCTCATAAAATAAGACCTACAAATCTACTAACCATGGAAAAATTAGGTGCTAATTTATCTTTTGAAAAGTAGTTATTTGCTATTACCGTCTTTTCTGCCACATTTGTTCAAAAGCATCTGCAAGCTCTATGTTAGTAATTTCTTCAGAATCTTGAAATTTCAAGAAACCATTTCCACCATGTCCTTAGAAGAAGAGTCAAAAAACATAAAATAGACACATTTTTAATGCAAACTTAAGTCATAACAATTATAAAGAATATTTGTTATTTTATATTCTAATGTAAAAAATACTGTGAAAACAAATAAACTTAATTTTATACAAATTGGAAAGAAAATAATAATAGACTATATAAAAATAGAAGATACAATATTTTTAAGAGTTTTTCTATTTATTCAGTTATATGAAAGCATGTTTATATTTTTTCACTGGCTCCATTATGATGTCAGAAATGTGTTTCCATAAATAAAAAGTCCTCAAACACCAGGCGAACCTTTTTTTGGTGAGAAAAGAGTGGAAGACACTAGCTAGTCCCATGGTATGCAAGTACTATTCACAGTATTATACTTGTACATAGAATGCTATACTACTATGAAATGCAGTTATCACTTAAAAATTGATGCTTTTACTACTATCAAACACCATCCCAGAAAGAGTTGACCAGAAGATTGTGAAATTTAGAATGTATTATAGAACAAATCTGCCTGGATTCTAATACTAGCTTATCCACTTAATGACTCAGTTATTTTGAACAAATTACTTCTTTCTATGCCTCAGTTTCCTCAGCTGCAAAGTGAGAAATGTCTCAGTGAGACCATCATTTCCACACTTACACAGCTCCTTTGTACTGATTTTATAGAGGTACCTGCCAAAGGGCAGCGAAGTAGAAAAAAATTGTCTATTTTAGTGTCCCCTCTGAATACATGTAGTCCTGTGAGCTCAAACATGGTTAGTGGCTATGTCTCTTTGGAGAAAAAACAGTTCTCCCTCTCATTAGACAACTTTATGCAGGGTACACAGCTTAGTAAGTGTAAATATATACTGGGTTTCAGCTTCTACTCACTTCTCTACTCAGACACTTACATGCAATGCACAACCCACAGTGTATCAGCTCTGAACATCAGCACCTAAACCTCTGGGTTGTTGTGAGGATGAAATGAATTACACACAATGGTTTACAATACTGACTTATGTATAGTGCCTCAATAAACACTAGCTATTATCATTTTTATTATCATATTATAATTATCAACCCTCCTATACTTTTCCTTAGGTTGGCAAACTTTTTCCGTACAGGGCCAGGTGGTAAATGTTTCAGGCTCCTGGGTCCCCTGGTCTCTGTTGCAACTACGGGACTCTGCTGTTGCAGTGTAAAAGCAGCCACAGACTGCATGCAACACAGATGAATGTGACTATGTGTTAATAAAACTTGATTTCCAAAACAGGAAACCCTTCCATGGGCCATAGTTTACAAAATCCTATTTTAGACTACTGTAATTTCTTCCATACAAATCAACTCAGAGAAAAAAAATGTTGTAAAATCTCTAGTTTAGTAGTATATCAAATAAAGCTAAGCTACCAGACTATACTTCATCCTAATTACCAAAAAACCTTAAAAATTTTTTTAACTGTTAAACTTAAATAAATTTTTTCTGATTTCATTTACTCTGCTGGGTTTATTTATAAAGTTCACAAAGTGACTGAATTTGAAAAGCTAGAAATAATTGCAGCATGATAAATAAAAGTAAATCACAAAGTAGGGGTCAGTATCCACCCTGTTGTGACATCTACGAATCATTCTGCACCTGTCTTATCCTGTTTTATCATTGGTTGAATGGAATGCCCTCTGAAAAAAAATTTTTAAATACCACTTGATCAACATTCATATTTACTGAATACTTCTGTAAGACAGGGCACTGGTAATAGAATGAAAAACACACTATCATTGACACCTTGGAGCTCAAAAGCTAAGAAAGTCAATAAATATCCAGACAAAAAAGTAACAGTAAGTTAAATGCTAAAATGGAAACTATAGATTAACATGGCAGTGCAAAGAGAAGAGCATACACCAGCCATGGAGATGAAAATCATATTAGGGCAATTATAAAATATATTATATATACCAGGAAACTACTGAGGAAGAAAGGAGGCACTATTAATAATTACACTGGGACAACAGGTATAAACTAGGACGTTCCCAGGCAATTGGAAATACAGTCACCCTAGACTTAGAAAGGAAAATCACTTAGACTAACACAATAAGGAGTAATCAAGTAGGCAAAGTGAACTGAGGCTGCATCAATAAGCAAAGGCAATAGCTTAGGCAAACAATATGAGGACAGAAAGAGTCCAATGCTTGGAAGGGAATTACAAAAAGTGTAAGAACTAAAATTAAATAAATAATATATCTATAAATATGTATTATCTATTGCATATGGCATAAATCAATAAATAATATAACTATATTATGGAGGACTTTATCCACAATGGTCTTCAAAGGAGAGACAAAAGACTACAGAAGTTTATATCAAGAGAGTATATTTAAAATGTATTTTCATAAGCCCCACTCTAGACCAAAACTAAATCAGAATTTTAGGAAAAGGCCTAAGAATTTACATTCAGATAATCCTTATGCACACTAAAAATTGAACTCCATCATTGGAAACCAGACTTTTAAGAAGAAGAGGGACAGATATGCAATTTCTATTAAACACTTTGGTAGAATGATTAACAGGAGGCAAAACTGAAGGCAAAGAGGCTACAGCAGGACACTAAGTAAAAGGTAATGAGTTTTACCAGGGTAATAGTAAAAAGAATAGAAATAAGAAACTAAAGGACAGCACAAATGTTATAACGTTTTCAAATATTATTTCAAGGTGTTATATATTATGAGAAAAAGAAACTATTTAACAAATAAACGATTTTAACCAAAAATCATTTAAGGTGTTCCCATTTCTTTCCATGCAAATTCCTTGTTGACAAGAGTAACAAAATATTCTATTATTAAATATATAAATCCTGAAATTACCTGTCATATAAATAAGAATATTGCTTCTATCATCAGAAAGAAGACGTTTTGACCGAGGAGTACTAGGTGGGATCCTCCCAGTTAATACCCGTAAAAAATTCTCCACGGTTACCTGAAAAAAAAAAACAAAGAGAAAGAGAAATCAGATAAAAAACTTAGGAAAACCTGATAATCTGTCTTTACTTTTGAAAACATTCTTTCTCCCTTCTCTATGCATTACTTACTATTAAACTGAAAATAAAAGACAAAAAGAAATAAACGGAAAATATATTTATTTAAATATATATCTTTAACTGCCTCTACTTAAAGTACTACAAACTAATAAATACTTAGAGGAAAATGAAAGTTAATTCTAAATTTAAAACTTTAAATGCTATGCAAAGTGTTGTCAAAACCTTAAATTTATAAATCTGTCTTCATAAGCAATTATTTAGGAAGATTTAAAAAAACAAACTTGTAAATAAATTCAGGTATATAACTATTGCAATTAATCTGTGCAACTACTTAGTCAATTCAAGATTAGCCAGAAAGACAGGTCCGTAATAAATCACAGAAATAAAACCCTGAGGAGAGATCAATAAATAATCCCAAAGTTAATATGTACCTTTGATTTTTTTAGGGCATTTTGTTACTTAAATTTCATAAGGGCTATCTTTAACAATGTGGTGAAGGCAGTGGGGGAGGAGGCATGGAGGCTGGATGAAGGGGAGGAAAGGGGGGAAGAGGGGAACATCTGTAATTGTGTCAACAATAAAAAAAGATAAATATGGTACTTGGTAACCATAATAAATTCTCTCCTGGTGAAATACACACCCCCCAAAAAATCATACCACTTTAAACCAAATTTCCCAACCTGGAATTTCTGGACCTCTGGGATTTTTTGAAAGCATATTTAAAGCATTACTCCATGTAATTAGCATTACTCCATGTAATGTAATGCTAATTTAGTTATATTATACAGCTACAAATTTAAAAAGCAGAAAATACCTCTAGCTTTCTTGTTTGACTTTTCTCTAGATCATGGATATATGTGTGTCTAAATGTGTGTGTGTGTGTGTGTGTGTGTGTGTGTGTGTGTGTGTGTGTGTGTTAGATGTTTGGTTTACCTTTTTCCCAGAAGACAGCTAATGTTAAGTGTTTAATAGGACTTCTTATTGGCTAACAAGGAAAAAAAATTTTTGGTCTACATTTTATAATGACTAAACAAACAAGTAAAAATTCCAATATTTATACACATTTAGTCACTGAACAACATTTTTCAATGTCTGCAAAGGGCTACAGCTACTTGCTAGATACAAGACATAAAATTTAGGCCATTTCCTCAAGGAGCTTACAGCCTGGAAGGAGACAGATATGCTTTTAAAATTTCTTCAGAACAAGCCTAGGAACACAGGAAATTGTGTCTTACTTTTGGTAAGTTTGGTAAAAGAAGGATTATTCAGGAAGATTTCATCAAAGAACACCTCAAATTTTAAATGTATTCACAATCTACTAAACTTAAAATGAAGTTTCAAGGGAGAAAATACAGTATAATGCATTATTCAAATTTACATTTTTATTTTTAATCATATGTGCATAAAAACACTAGAAGCATATTAAAAGTGGTTACCTCTAAGCAGTGAAAATATGGGTGAGTTTTTGGTTAGTCATTTTAATTTTTCCACAATGAATATATTTACTAAAAATATAAAACTTAAATTTTAGATCAAATATAAAAAAACATAATACATTTACTATAAAAGACACTCAACACAGGAAAACTCTCTAAAATACTCTCATAAAAACCAAGATAAAATTGTTTTATCCTAAATACATATTTAAGATATTCATGTTGTGACAGTTTTATTTATATATTGTTTCCTTAGCATGAACTCAAGACAGAATTATATCAAAAGCTTTCGTGACAATTGTATACAAAATTTAAAGACAAAAAATAAGACTATTTTATTCAACCAGTGTTTTAGAGCTTAAAAATAACAATAACTACATTTCAAAAATGTTGCTAAGTCAAACAATTTACCTCATAACTTCTATAATCTACTTCCACATCATCTCCATACACATTTAGTTCCATATTCTTGTGACTAAATACTGTGGCAGGTTTGGGGTTCCTGGGGTTGCAGGCCATATCATCTGCAAGCATCAGAACAATGTGACTAGAAAAAAATTCAGAGAATATATTATTTAAATAAAATGAAAAAGTTAAAAACAGCCACATTTTGTTTAAATCATGTAGCAATTATGTGCATTATTTTCTTCATTAAAAATAACTCAACAAAATTATTGAGTACATATTTAACAGAACTATTTTTTCATATTTTTATGTAGTACAAGTTTTAAAGTAGAGAAATTGGAGCAATGTGGCATGAATTTATATGTAGAATTTGAGTCACTAATTTAAATTTTTTCACAACAAAGTATACATTATGCCATATAGAAAGGGGAAGCTGGAGGAGCTACACTGTCCTCCCCAAACATTTAGAAACAAGTTAGTAATGTTTGACATTCTCAGGACTTATACAGTCCGCATTAAACTATGATATTGCAAAGAACTTGACTTTCAGAAGCACAAATGCTTAAGAATAGGAGACATGCAATCCATCAACAAGTACAATCAGTGTATCAGAGGAACACATCTCCAATCCAATCACTTTTCACTGGTCCCCTCCATCTCCCTAATACCAGCCAGCCACCATCACTTCTCAACTAGGTGCTATTAAAATAGCTCCCCCACCTGGCTTCCTGCTCCCATTTGCACCTTTTTACAGTTCATTCTCCTTACAACCACCAGGGTAATCTTCCTTAAATAAGTCAGATCATCAAACTTTCTTACTTTAAAACCCTCCAAGGACTCCCCACTGTAATTAGAGAAAAATCAAAACTCCTTACAATACAAGAGGGTGTCAAACTCATTTTCACTGTGGGCCACATCAGCCTCTCGGTTGCCTTCAAAGGGCCAAACGTAATTTTAGGACTGTACAAATGTAACAATGCCGTAACAGTTAAATGGAAGCTTGGCGCTGCTGCCAGGTAGAAACAAGGTTCTGGGCCAGGTAAAACAAGGTGGAGGGCCAGATTCGGCCCTTGGGCCCTGTGTTTGCCACCTGTGCCTTACAAGATCTAAAAAGCTCAATTAACATGGTCTGTATCACTCTAACTTCAGCCCCTACCACCCAATATGCTCGTCTACAGCAGGGGTATCCAACCTGCGGCTCATAATGGCAACGAATGCAACCCAACACAAAATCATAAATTTACTTAAAACATTATGAGATTTTTTTTGTGATTACATGTCACAATGTATTTAATGTGTGGCCCAAGATGACAATTATTATTCCAGTGTGGCCCAGAGAAACCAAAAGGTTGGACACCCCTGGCACTGACCTTTCTGTTCTATGAATATGACAAGTCTTTCCCACTTTAGGGGCTACTGACCAAATTTGACTTGTCTCCTCCAAATCTTCCTATTATTCTAATCTCAGCTAAGGTACTCTATTCTCATTATGTGTCTTATTTTCTACAGGTCACTTACAACCTGAAATCCCATCATCTCCCAGCAGCACCCCCACAAACTTTGCAAGGGCAGGGCTTCATCTCTCCCGTTCACCACTGTGACGCTCAGGCTTCGTAGCAGAGCCTGACATACAGTAGGTATTCAATCAATATCCGCTGGGTGAATGAAATATTTTCATTTTTGCATATATTTTCTTTGAAAGAAAATTACATTAATTCCTCTAAACTACTTATCATGATCTTACCATTAAGCCTGCTGAACATGAATCAGGCAATCCTTTACCATATATCTGACCTTCGCAAAGGTAAGGGAAAAATTAATGTGGCATATGTAACTAGTCTGGCAGGAGATAACAAGAAGGAAATGTTCTGCTGCATATGTTCCAAATGCACTGAAATTCAGAACTGAATCATTGTGATTCTTCTTAGAAATTGGCTAGATTTGTATTTTGAAAGGGTTCCAACTCTGTCACATTCAAAGATTAGTTATTCAGCTGTTACTGACTCATATTCACATAATTATGAAAGTTATTCCTCTTAAAATGGAAAATATCTTTTTTAATAATTTGAGATAATTAAATGACATTGTTATGATTAATCATATCTTTTTGTTACAAGCCATTATTTTTTTAATTTTATTTTAATCATTGTTCAAGTCTATTTTTCTGTCCTTTATTCCCATTCCAGCCCACCCACCCAAACAAGCCATTATTAAACCAAACTGAACTGACCTCCCAATGTCAATATAAATGTGAGTGTTCCATTAGGCCATATTTTTGGTTTAAGATTCACTGCCTACCCAATGTCAGTATCATAAAACAGTAGTATTTTCAGCTTCAAATCGTAAATTCAATCAGTATTTTTCCCACAGATTTTATTGGAATCCATTTTTCAATTATAATTGACATAAAATATTAGTTTCAGGTTTTCCTACAGATAATTTTGAGCCTCAATATAAGTACTGTAACCCTCTGTTAACATAATCAATATACCATTTAAAATTCATTATATTTGTGGACAATAAATGAAAACCATGACAGGAAACAGATTGGATTTCAAAGGTGTAGAAGTCCAACCACATATTCTGCTCACTGTTTGTTCAGGACTGTTCGACGAAGGAAAAAAAAATTCTCACTTGCTAATGATATTTAAATATATACACAAGAGTAAATTCCTTAGGTTTATAGTTCTTATAAAACTGTAAGTATAAAATTATAAATTAAAAAACTATCAAACTAATATTATTCTAAAAACATTAATTCCATTTGAAGGATATGTTATTTTGCTAAAACTAAATGACTACTGTTACCTTTAACAAGACAAAGAAGTATAACAGCAGGCCTGGCTCTACAGTTCATTCTTTTCTACATTTTGACATCCACACGACAAAATAATTTGATGATACTGGAAATCTGTTCACAAAAAATATGTTGTACAAAATGCAATTCATAACTTACAGACTCTGTCTACTACTCAGGAGAACAAGATCTTATATTTAACTATACTTTGCCAATAAATATTCTTTGCACACCAGTTATCATGAGATCCAGCTTGACTCCTTAAAGTCTCTTTTTCGCTTGAATAACAGGTTAGCCACACAGAAGTGATTTAAGTCTTCACTGAGTGGATATCAAATCACTGCTAGAATTAAGACCAAAACAATCTACACTGAAGAAAAACTACTATCTCCCAGTAAATAATATTAGGAAGTTGTATCTTATTGAAGTAAGATCCCTCAAATAATCCAATCAATATAAGAAAATTATATTTTTAGTTTGGCAGTCTTACACTACTAGGTGTGCTGACTCAATTTTCACACTTCGTTCACACCCCTGCAAAACCTACATCACACAGCAAAGCACAAGGGAACATGGCCTTCTCTCAACAAAACCAAAAGAAAAAGTGAGCACTGAAATTGTATGAAGTTCAAACTGGGTTTGAATCCCAACAATATAGTGGTTATTTACATAGGTACTTTTCACATTTTTAAAATCATGTACTACAGTAAAGTTTAAAATAACTGTGAGGGCAAACCCACACATATCTACTAATTTCTAAGTCATATGTATTTTCTACTTTAAGTACATAATAATAAATATTAGTAAAGCATAATTTCTTTCCTTTTTTAGATTAAAAAAAGAAGCTGCTAATATTTTCTTCCCTTATCACTCTTTGGATATAATCGAAATAGAATACTTTGACCATGCTTATATAGATTTTAAAGATCATAAATTAAAAATGAAAATTTAAAACTTGTTCAAAAGGAAACATATGTGGGGGAAAAATGGTCTAAAATACTTTCCCATTATCATGTTTGCCCAACACTGAAGGAACAGGTAAGCCCTGCATCAAGACTGCTATGTCTCTTGACCCACCTCCCTGAAATTCTTCCTGGTTCTTCCTGGGCCTATTCAGAAACCAATAACCAATGGGTAAATATATATATATATATATATATATATATATATATATACACACACACACACACACTATATAAATATATATGTATACATATATATATACATATATATATATATATACACACACACATTTTAAATAGGTGAATAATCTGTTACCAACACAGACTATTAGAGTGTAAAATTTCAAAAGCCATAATTTTTCATTTATGATAGACTACTATTACCTTAATAAAAACTTCAATTGAAATTTAAATAAATTACTGTATGGGTTCAGATATCTTTCAAATGTTCACTTAAAATTGCTATACAGCCCTGACTGGTGTGGTTCAGTGGGTTGGGCATCATTCCCACAAACCAAAAGGTCTACAGCTGGATTCCCAGTCAGGCCACATGCATGGGTTGAAGTACAGGTCCCCCTTGGGGGAGTGCAGGAGGCAATCACACACTGATGTTTCTCTCCCTCTCTTTCTCCCTCCCTTCCCCTCTCTCTAAAAATAAATAAGTTTAGTCTTTAAAAAACATTGCTATCGCCCTGGCTGGCGTAGTTAAGCGGATTGAGCGCGGGCTGCGAACCAGACATCGCAGGTTCGATTCCCAGTCAGGGCACATGCCTAGGTTGCAGGTCATGACCCCCAGCAACCGCACATTCATGTCTGTCTCTCTCTCTCTCTTTCTCCCTCCCTTCCCTCTCTAAAAATAAATAAATAAAATCTTAAAAAAAAAACATTGCTATCCATTCTATAGCCATACTACTGATCAGGTACCACTACCGCATAGCATCTTTAGCTACCAGAGCTAGGACCACCAGCCTTCTTTTCAATAACATCACCATTCCAACCTAGAACAGTGGCTGCAAGTAAAGCAGCAGATTGAGGATCACAGGGATCTTTGACGCTCTCTTAAATCTCTGGTTTCTGCTCATAAGCATCACTTTTGTTTTCCTGACATAAATTATTCAGGATACTCTGTATATTATTGCTTCTTCAGGATTTTAATGGCTGTGGGACAAAGCAAATGCAACAAACTTTGTTATATTTTCATTAGCTGTATGCCAAAGTAATTCACTTTTAGGCTTTTCTTTCTCCTCTCTCACGTCTTGGGGAATCTCCAAGTTAATAAATCTCACCACCAATGTACTATGCAGCTAATCATAGCAAATCTATTAGTTGCAGGTGCTAGACTGTTAAGATTTAACAAATTACTTTTAACTCATCAAATGTCAC